CTGATAGTTTATTTTTCCACAGTGTAGTGAATAAGCCACAGGATAGGGTGGGATTTTACTTAGCGCTATTTTATAGAAGATAGTATTATCCATGTTGAAATGAACTGCAGTTTTTACCTTGCCTGGGTCTCATTAGCACCCTCAATTGGAATCGAACAAAGTTAATTTAACGCGTAATTTAGACATGATGACATGGTGGAAAGTGCAGACACAAACCAACCTCAGCAGTATGTTCACTAGCAACATAGATATCAAGAGAGACATTACAAAAAGAATTGCTTCTGCCGGATGAGTATTTAGAGAGTTTAGTTTCATAGGGTCTTAAGTACTTCAATCACAGGCGTCAAATATAAAGTTATTACGCAAAGTATTCTTTTTTTTCAATGGTGAGTTAAAATGGAATAATACTTTAGCCTTTTCTCCTGAAATTTTTAGGGAGCATGTCGATGATAAATTATCCACAGTTTATTGGTTTTTAGCGACTTAGGTGCTGATTCAATTGACGTGGCTTCTAAATATTTTTTAGGGATCTCAGGCCTGATGGCTTTACCAGAATCGTCAAATGGCTTACAACGGACTGATTCTGATTATCATTGTTGACGAGCTATTTTAAATTACGAGGACTTAGTGATGTCCCAGACTGCAACGGAAAAGCTTACCTATGAAAATATGCTGGAATATGCTGGGATATGCTTAATTGTATGGCAACAGCTGAGAGTTATAAAACATTGATACTATGTGTCTATGTCTTTAGCTAACTAAATAAAAAGAAGGTTATATTCATCACCTTGTTTAAAAGATACATTTCTAATCAGAGGCATATTTTAAAGTTCATTGTCACCTATTCTATTTATTAAAGAATATCACGCAAAGCAGAGTTGACTAGAGTACATTTGTTTCAGAACGCAGGTTTTATCCATTAGATATTATTCATTAGTAGTAGTAGCAGTAGTATATATTATTAGTACTATTATTTATTAGATATTATTAATGACCAATTAAGCCGCTTTAGCAGGAATATTCTGGGATTGTACTTTGAATTCTTGTATCTAGCTTTTCCGTTTGGGTTTATTTTTAGATAATTCGCATATCTCAATCAGAAAAACTCCGACGTATTTTCGTTTTTACTTCGGTAGTCCGCCTCGGAGGGATATGGAAATGGAAACTGATCAGATATTACAATTAAGCAAGTATTTTGGTGTCTAACTTAATATACTGCTGGGCATAAAGATAATCAAATCGATGTCTTGATGTTGCACTGAAGGGGTGCAGGCAAACTCTCTTTAACAAGAGTGGGAATTCTGACTTTACGCTGAACTATAATTAATATCTCAATGGGCTATAAATAAGCGATAGCATGTTTATTCTACCTCTTACTTGGCTCATTATAATCCTTTTTCGTGACCCTCTTAACAGGTATGATTATAGATTTTATAAAATTGCTTGCTTTTTCATAGCAGCTTGAAGTAATGGGTCAATTTCCATATTTTTTCTTGCGGTTAAATGCAATTATTTGCCTTAAAAATACAATTAATCCTTCTGGCAGAATCAGTTTAAATTTAGAGGATTCGTTAAAAAGCGACTCTTTGTTTATGCTGCCTACGATGTAAAAAAACGATACAGTTTTTGTAATAAGTGTACAATTGGGAGGTCTTCCGCAAGAATGTCCCACTCGAACTGTAAGGCCATCCCGAGATCGCCTGTTTTTTATAAGCCAACTTAGAGGAATCTAAAGTCGCGTGATTAATTAAATTTATAATAAGAAATAATTTCTTATTAGCCACCACTTATTAATCATTTTATTAACAAATTATTTGATTCCTTGCTCTTATATCTCTTCGCCTTCTCAACATTATTGTACTTTAGACATTATCATAAATATGAAGACCAAGCTGTCGTAACCTCTGTTTTGGTTGTAATATTTTTTCGCGGTATAGGAATGGTCTGACCTTGTTTTCGCATCTTGATCGTGTTTTCAGGGCGACCCAGTTGAACGCAACTTCTCCGAAGTCATCTGCCTTATTAGTTATGATAATTCTAAGTATTCGATCGTGGACTGACTCGGATACCGGCGAAGCGTCTGGTAATGTACCATGGTATAACTACTATAGCAGAAGAATTCGAACAAGGTTCGTCCAACCAGGTCGCACTGACAGAATTACTAAGTTGCAAAAACGAGGTCAGACACGTTTAGACATCAGGTTCTACCAAATTGCATTTTATAATCTATCACTTGCCATATATATTCACTATTGATTCACTAACTATCCACCCTAGATTAAGCTATCAATCTATTTGAAAATTACAAGTTTATTTCGTATACATTTTCCTTTTTCATGTATGACACTGTACAAATGTCTATTTTCGTTTATCAGTCTTTATTCTATCAGTTGTATACTTTATCACTGCTTAAAAATAT